TCATATTTATTTTTTAAAGTTTAATTGCATGGCATCTGTTTTCCTCCAGTTCCTTCTAGGTATGGCTTCACAGACCGTAGAGGGACTCAGTGCTTTATGAAAAGGGCACAGACCAGAGATTTCAGACAACACATATATTAACCACATTGTTGTCCTCAGACGCAACCTGAGGCTGAACAGACACAGACAATTTGTTTCATCTTCTTCCATCAGGCTTTGGATAGAAATCTTTAGCTTTCATCCCTTCTGCTATCAATTCCTCAACAAGCTTTAAGTGGCTCTCCATGAATTTCACACATAAAGGTCAGTTTACTCACCACGGAAAACACCCCTCACAGCTGTATAATGTCATCTGTAGATCGGCTGGGAGCCCAACAAATAACCCAGATGATATGAAAATGTTTAAAGATATGGGGACTTTAAAGGATTAAAATGATGCTATACAGTTGCATTGTGGGAATTATGGTATATTTTTTGAACCATATTGACCTTATGGGTGTCAGCAAAAGAGAAGGTCTGAAGTATAAATGAATATCAGTTCAGGGAAAATATAAATGTATCGTTATATTATCTGTTATGATAATCTTTTTTATGTGATCTCTGTGGTGGATTAAATGGTGTGTCATGCTATAAGACCCCTCGTAAATGTGGAAAAATGTTTGGTTGACTGTGGGAACCCCCTTCACAGCTGTGACTACGTGACACGGGAAATGGAAAAAAAGGTCAAAGTCAGGAAGTCTTGACTTATGCTAATTCAGATTCTACTTCTGTCTCACAGAAGTACCATAACTTTATGTTGGTGGGAAACTACATTTAGTACACCTTTAATAACAACATGGAACACTTTTGCCCAAATTATTTGTTTCCTCTGCATTGCCTCACAAGATAAATGATTATTTCCATCAAAGTATGGCCTTTGTTCCGTTCACCTCGATCGCTGCAGCTGCAGCAGATAACTCACGGATACAAAAAAGCTCTTCCCAATGCAGGGAGGTTTATTTTATGATATGTAACCTGCTCAAAGGACATGCAGACAAGGACAAGCATTGTTCCTTTTGTGGCTGATGACCTTCAAGTGAAAGAATCTTAGTTTTATCTCCACTCTCCATCTCAAGAGGATGAGAAATGTCAGCTCACCCACACTTCCTTCTTCCTTCTAACTCCTTATGTAGCCAACCATCTTTTTTCTGTCATGGAGGGCCCCTGCTCAAAGACATTAGCTTGACTTTTGGCTGGCATTGTATTCTTAAACTATCAGTGGAAGAATCACACACAGGGAAGTAAAACAACCCTAATCAGTCTGATAGCGTTTTGGCATAGGAAGTCCACATCCTAATTTAAAGTGACCTCTTACAAGGCCCAAGTCCCTTAATGGAGTTATCTTTCACCTCAGAAGGAGTAATTGAATGGAGATAAATCTATGAGAGTATCAATAAAAGCAATCATCGGACAGCTCTGCCAATTTAAAAGCATTTTAACAGACAAGGGTCTTCTGTTATTGGCATAGACTGGTTATCGGTGGGGGGAAGGCTGGTTTGTGGATATTGACGGTGAGGTACAACAAGAGTCATTGACGAGTTCAAGATCCTCAAATACGATTTGTCATCATTCTCAGCAGATTGATGTTAATTGGGTTTTCTATGCATTCACTTTCCTCTGGAGGTCATTTGAAATTGAGTTGGGCAGCAATTTATCTTTAGCCTATAAGTCATAATAGACACAGCATATACTCTTACCCTAACAATGTCAGCGTGTATATGACCCAAATTGAAAGATCAATTCTTTGAGGATCTATTGAGCTGAGAGTTGCAAAAGCCCAGCGCTAACAGATGGCTAAATCATATTGGAAGAAGAAGTCAATACAAAGAAAGCGAAGTTCAGTGTGGGCTACAAGTGCATTGTACAGTCAGCTTTTTGCTGGTGGCGTTATCATTTGAAGCCCTGGACTGACAACAGAAACTATGATGGGAGACAACAACAATGACATGGATTCACCCGAGGGAGAGAGTGACAGATTAAATCAGTAAGAAGGAATCAGATGTGGAGAGAGAGAACAATGTGAGATTAGATGCAAAGATGACACATGGCATGTCTTCATCTGATCTGACAGAAGTCAAACTAGAGGAAGACTTACTGGGGTAACTGGGGGAAGGGCTTACATTGGGGATAAGTTCAGGGACAAAAAAAGACTGAATTCTTTACAAGTAAGATAGCTGAATCAGCAGATTACTTGGCTGACTCCAGCATCACGTCAAACTCACACAAACACCTCGTGTCAACTCCGTCACCATGGCCTCCAGAATGAAGGAAGCCTGTTGTTGTCAAATTGTTTTCTCATTAACCAATAGCAACACAACTCAATGTTACTGTGAGCTTGGTGTGTTGTATGAACTGATATATCTCTGTTACTGCACAGCAGCAGCTTTGATAGAAAAATGTTCACTTGGCACCATCTTCTGGTCAACATTTTTTATTTTCTGCACATACTGAAACCAGTGTTAGGCAATCTTTGGCTTGTGACCCCTTCAAAGGTTAAGGTAGGGGCAGTTCACTTCAAGAGTTTTTAAGAAGCCTGAGAAGCTATACGCTTACATTTACCTTTTGTGTTCTTGATTGGATTAAATTGCAGCGCTGAATTGTTTTAATTTTGAATCTCAGATTTTTCTTATTTTTAAAAAAACATGTCAAAGCATCAATACGATAAATTAAAGGCTTATGTCATTTGTAAAATAAACTGTTGCCTATCAGTTTTATCCCTCAACTTGCTCTCGTTTTTATAAAAAACAGTTGGTAAAATTATTGTTGTTTTTTTCTCTATCTTACACTCATATGCTCTATTCATAAACTTTTCTGTCAAAACCTGGAGCCTACATTACCCACAATCCAACTCAACTTCCAACAGTTCTGTCAGATGTATTATGCAAATAGCGGTACAGGCATCTAGCAAAGATAAGGAGCGTAACATTGTTTTAGTTCAACCCTCACAGATTTTTTTTGTTTCAAACTTTTAGTCTTCAGCCACAATCAACGCTGACTCGAGTGACGTCACTTTAGGCTATTATTCTGATTTGGGGTTGGGGCTTTTAGAATCACCAAAGGCGTTGTTGTTTTTTCTATGCAGTAGTAATCTGGAAACAGACTATGATGTTTAAAAACTAAATAGTTCCCCTTTAATGTCCCATGAAGGCCACTATGTCCTGGCAATGCTGGTGGTTTACCCATCTCATTTCTAATGTCTTCTCTTATCACCACAGCTCAGTGTTTCAGTCTGTCTTTCCTCTCAACTTCCACACTGCTGACTCTCTTTCAGTGACACCACCCCCTCCACTCTTCTGTCTGCACTCTCCTCTAATCCTGCCCTTCTGTCTTCACTTTGTCCTTTGGCTGTCTGAAGTCCTGCAAGTTGAGAAAGCGGATTGGATGACTCCTCTCACTCGGAGTCTCTTCTGTCCTCCCTTCTGCCTCTGCTGCTAAATCAACCTGTCAAATACTTGGAGAGGGCAGATTACGTCACGTGAGGCTTCCTCACCTTGTCCCTTCTCTCTAAATCACTCCCCCATCCTCTTATCACTTCTTCGGCAACGGCTTGACATTGTCTCTCCCGAAACATTAGCATAAAACCATCAGCAAATTTATGTTTGTTCTCTAGTAATATTATCAGCCCAAACTGGTTAGGAATTTATTTCAGACTATAATGGGCTCTTTACAGTGGCGTGGAGCCGGCCAGGGGCCCATGCAAAAAATAAAGAAAAAAAGATTACATTTTTTTTATATATATACCTTTTTTTGGGGGGGGCCCCAATGGCATTGACCGGTTCATGCAGTCTTCAAAGTAACCAAGCAACCTAAATTAATTTGTAATTTGTCTGTCCAAGGACCTTGCTCCCTTTCATGTCATGTGATACCTTGACGAGCGAAACGTTTAATCAACCTCAAAAGTTATAGGTACTATAGCTAGCAGCAGCAAGTTTGGCAACGTTATAAAAAATGTAATAGCTTGCATTTATAATGTACAGCAAACCAAAGTACAAGAGCAGCGCTCAAAAGAGAAAGGACAAGAGAGAACAAGGAGATGTAATGGCTAAACTGACAAAATTAGATAGATTCTTTTGACATACATCGTCCTCCAAATCTCGATTAATTCTGTAAAGTGATTGTGTAATTAGTTTGCTGTGCCGTTGTCAGGGGTGTGGTGGTCTGAGACCAGGGCAGGCTGTTGTTGATAGCCTACATGTGGCGCTTATGAGTGGTTGTGTGTGTCCGTGCGTGTGTGAGCGCATCAGCGTGCGCTTATGTAAGGGGCGATGGGGGGGGGGGGCCAAAACAATATTTGCACCGGGGCCAATCATAACCTTGTTACGCCACTGGCTCTCTAACAACACATTGCTAAATTGAGTTGTAAACTTTATTAGTGCTCTTTGAAACACATGCTGACAAAACAATCTTGAGTCTAACTATATCGGATCTTTTGAAGATTTCACATGATTTGCTCGATAAGAAATAACTCATTGATTAATCATGAAGGCTATTTTAAAAAAATTGTTTGTAATGACTTTTTCCCCTCAGCGGTCCAACACCCAAATAAATTAAGCATATGATGACATAAACAGAGAAAAGCAGAACATATTTATAACTGAGAATAATAACTACAGGTTTTGGGGGATTTTTTGTTATTTTCTTGAGTATTTTTTAAACATCATAAAAATACTATATATTAACAGTTTTCATTAATTGATATACTATACATTTATTTTAATAAAGTAACTTCAATCCGTCTTACTCAAAAAGATGTAAAAAGGAAATGTCTGTGAAAACCTGCATGGCGATCTAAACTGATCAAGAGCTCCAGGATAATTACCAAATGAACATTGAAGTGAGATTGTTTTGTCATTATAATACTACAAAAGCAGCTGATTATATCATGAGTCTTACTGACCCTTAAGAGGAAACTAGTATTTAAAACGTGCGGCTGTAAAACACACAACTGAAACAGATTCATCAGATAATGGCTTTATATTCCTGTTACACTGATGCATTACACACATACATTGATCTTTGATTAGAAACACACAAAAGGTACAGCAAACCAAAAGTTAAGGGAAAAGGTTTTAGCTTAGCAGAGTACTAACAACCCATACTTTTATTTGGTTGTTGTGAAGCCATAATGCCATTTTAAAGTTGAATAAAAAAACTCTAGTTTGGTGATCTGGTGTCAATTCACATCCCTGAAATGTCAAGTTCTCCATGATTAACCTAAAAGTTATTTATTCCGTACAAAGTATAAAGCATTTTATTATTGCACATGGAAGTGTTACAGCTACACAGACAGTTAAATAAAATACCATCTGTTACAGTACTTTTATCGCAAAAGGAGTAAATCTCACAGAACTCTAGTGTCCCAATCACAAAGCATTAATGGATTATTTTTGATCTCACAGAGTTTAAGGATCACACTGTGAATGCTTTGATTATTTCTCATAAACATCGGTTTCTATCATACATTAAAATGTTGTTCTCAGAGCAGCAAATATATTTATTTCTCCAAACATTTATTATTATGTTTGCTTGTTAATACGTCCTTCTTTACTCCCTGAGAAACTAAAATGGAACATTTCCAGCACTTTTATAGCATAAAGTTGCTTTTTATGGCTAGAAAATGTTCATCGACTATTAGGCTTATAATATATATACTTATATCTTTGACTGATTTTCATCAGCACCCAACCTTTCTTTTTGTGAACTGCAATGGCTTGTTCAGTGTATGGATATGGTTGAAAAATGCAAACATAGGCGGAATTATTCATACTACGTCTGGCCTTAAGTTACCAAACATGACCTAATGTGAGTGATTGTTAACTTGTGTGCACTGTATACTAACATGAAAACCATAAACAGGCGGCAAAAATCAACAAACACACGGTATACATGCCATGTTACAGGATGGAAAAACAAATAGGGAAAGACAAAATATTTCACTATTTCCTTAATATTAACAAAATATGAATGCCTCTTGTTAACCGCCTAAATGTATGTGCTTCTTGAAAATATATTGTACAGTTCCTGTTATGGATTTAGTGAGGCAGCATGAGGTTAGCTTGCAAACATACTAAATAAGTACATAACCACTCACTCAAAACACTATAGTTGACTGGGAATTCATTCAAACCTAAAGGCTTTTAGAGACTATGAATCCTACTCAAACTAAACAAATAGCTTTTAATAATACTAACATTTACTAGTAGTTTTGTATATGGTACACGTACAGTGAGTGCTAGCTAGTAATTACACAAATACAATTCAAAGTCGTCAATTGGTTCTTTGCATCTAGCTTTCTTACATTGTTTCAGAGTCACAGGGTTTTATGTTGGGCAAAGTGCAGGCGTATGGCTACAGCGTTCCCTTTGGATCTCATGCTGGTGTAGAATATCATTATATAATCAAGCCCTAGATTAGGTATCAGTACTGAGTGACGGAGAGAGCAAAGGTACTGAACATGATTCTCCGTTACCTTATCCCTGCTGTATGCTGTCCTTGTAGCTGCCTAACACGACATGTGTGGTCTTTTGTCTCAGGTAGCGCTGCAACACCTACTTATTCTTCAATCATCAAGGCCCTTCAATGCAGTGTGACGTGTTTAAAATATAAGCCTGTCAACACAAGAGACCTCCGAGAGTGGAATAGATGTTGTTAGTTGTCACTGAAGTCTCCAGGATTAGTTCAAACAAGTCAGTGATACTGGCAAATGTACCCTAAGTTACATTCATATTTAAGGATGTTAGAGGTTTTAATTGAGCTGACTGTTTTGGACTTAGCTCTCTCCAGAGTACACTACACAACTTTTTTTTAAAGATTATAAGCGGTCGAAAACCAGAACTTATACGCATCATCAATAATATTTATCTCTATATTTATCAAGCCAATTCTTTTGAATTAGATAACAGAAGGCTTTGAGACCATGCAAGCATTAAAGGAATAGTTCAAAATTTTCGGAAATCTGTCTTTCTGTACCTCTAAAAGTCTCTTATTAACATGTTACATATTTGTATAAGATTTGATCACCTTTGGATGTAGCCTGATATAAGTATCCTCCTGTTTTTCATTCTTAATACTAAGCTTTATACCGGCTCCTTTCACCGTCTACATAGTAAATGTACAGATAATCCTAGTGGTGGATTTATAAAATCTAACTCTCCATGAGAAAGGGAAATTCTGAAATATATATTTCTAATCAAACTACTCTTTATACTCTTTACAGGTTGTAGCAAGTGTGGCTGGGTTAAAATCATGCATATCCTGCTTCTCACTAGGACTGGGGTTTGTGCACCTTTGCTGTTTGTGCCCCCCTAACGTACTTAAACCAACACACACTCACACACCTCATCTCTCCTCCATTATTTTCTTCAGGCAGTCCACTATGTCCTCTCCACTGATCCAGGGAACGACGTTTGCCTTGAACTTGGCCGCCTGGGCCTGCTGCCTCTCCAGAAGCAGCTTGTGCATGGGGAAGTCCCTCCTGGGGAAAGCAGTGTCCCGGGGCCCCAGAGCCAAAGAGGGACATATATCATTGGCCCCATCTCCGATATAGAACACTTTCTGGAAGGGGGCGCCTCCACGCTCCTTTTGCCGGCCTGCCAGATACTCTCGAAGGATCACCTGCTTGCACATGTTTTCGGGGCAACAGGAGCACGAGTGGGAGTGGAACGGGAGCAGCACGAGGCAGCCGGTGTCATCGAAACTTGCCGGGTTTGTGAAAATCTTCCGGAAAAGGTGACGCACGCCGGCACGCTCCAGCCATGTCTCGATGATGTACATGTTGGCGTCGGAGACCACTGCCAGCTCAAAGTCCTGCTGGTGGCTCTGCAGGTACTGGAAGAGGCTCAGGAGGCCGGGGGAGGGCTGGATCTTCTCCACTGCTGAACGGATGGAGTCCTCGGACACACCCTGCTCCGCCATGTAGAGCAGGACCTTCTGCATGTGCTCGTTGTAGTGCCCCTCCCTGTAGCTGTTTCTCAGCCAGTCGGGGAGGTGTTGGCCCGGTAGAGCTCGCACCACAGCGTCATCGCTGCTCTCATTGATGATGGTCTCATCAAAGTCGAACAACACCAAAAAGCACTGTTGCTGCGGCGCTGCATGGCTCAGGTTTGGTGGAGCTGTCATCTTTGGTGGGTGGAGGAAATGTTGAGTGGTCCCTCTCTAAGAAAAGTAGATGGAAAACTGTCATTACGTTTCTTGTAACAGATTTAGAGAAGCATTTTACAGTTTGTTTTTTTATTACACCCTTCTGGTTTTACAGTTCGACATCACACTGTTAATTTAAACTGCAGCACCGATGCTGAGGAAACATTAAAATGTATAAAAAGTCTTAATGAGGCTATGAGCTGTAGGGGAAACACATGTTTACAAGAGGGAAGGAATGGAGCAGAGTTTGAATTAATCAACATATAAACAGGATGTTCATCACATTTAGGAAAATAAAAAATCCAAGTACTCTGTGTGCTGTGTTTATTTTCAGGAAATATCACTCTGTCTTTGTTTAAATCACTGCAGCATCTGATATGAAACACCCAGACATACACTTCCTATCATGGTTATCCATTAAGACATTCTCTCATTCCTTTAGGACTGGGGAATACAACTTTATTTAAACATGCCAAATTTCAGATCAGGGCCAATTCCATATTTACATAGCGGATATATTTCGAGCACAAGGGTCTCACTGTTAAAGGCATGCTGTAACTTGAGCAAAGTGAGAGCCGTTATGTCACAGCATACCTTTACCATATATGGAACAAACAAGAATGTTGAAGACAAACCAGCAATGATGAGATAAAGAACAAAAGCTATCGCTATAGTGTTGTGCAGTTATGCTGCATTTGCTACTTTGGGTATTGTGCTATCTTATACTTCTGCTTCACAGCATTTCATGACATTCAAACTATGAACATCAATCTGTGTCAATCCCAGGGGGGTGCATACAAGTCCCAACCTGTACATCTGTATGAGTTGAGTAACCTATGGATTACTATTGGAACAAAAAGAGAGGAAGTTGGGTTTGCATAATAGTTAGGGTGTGACTCCTCTAAGGGTCTTACAATACAAGAAGAGATCCAAAATAGTATTCATTGCCATCGACAGCTTGACTACTAATTACTTGTTGTGAATGTGGGAACATGAAACTTAACAAAGGAGTCACTCATAGGAAACTATTCTCAACACATTAGCTATACAATTAGATCAAGACATACAAAGACAATATCACAATCTAAAACTGTTTTCTTCTACATGTATTTGGTCAAAGAGATTATATAATTTACCCACTGTGTACTCCTGTGATGAAAAAAGTGTTAATATGCCCAATAGATAATGTAGTTACTCAATCTAATAAAAATGATGATTAAAAAAGTAACACCAGATAGGGGAGTCTTGATAAAACGTAGTTTGGCAGCTAGATTAGCTGACTAACAAACTATTTGACCAAGTAATATCCTAAAATCACATTTATTAAAAAGAGTTTATGAAACTACATCATTAGTTGAAATGAACAACAAATAAAAATGGTTAAAACTGCGTAAATTGTATAATTAAGTTAACAGCTCATATATTGACAATTTAAACAACCCTTATTCCCTAAGCATCATATCCTGTAATTATAATGCTCTCAGTTTTAGAGCAGTAATGATATATATATATATATATATATTAAATGTGTAGCTTTCAAAGACAAGACACATGATAATCCTGGTAAACAATATGTATTGTTATAAATTACACTACCTATAGGCTAGATACTACATACAGTAGTTTAAAACAACATCAACCTCAGTACAACATTTACAATGTATTTGCAAATCAGTTATCATGAGTTATTTGCGTATGCTGCGGAATGAGAAGGCCTACTCAGCTGTTGACGCCATGGATAACTGTTAACTTATTCCATTACTGGAAACAAGAAGTTGTATAAGGATGACAAAACTGATATATTTAGATGCAGTCTATTATATAAAAATGACATACAGATTACGTTAGATATATTAACATAATGCAAACATAATTGAGAAGGAAATACCAATGCCCTGACAATCTTAAAATGTACCTTTATATCATGACATAAGAGACAGTGTACCTTGGTATCAAAACCATTTTGAGTATGCAAAATAATCTAACGCTAGGTTTTATTTATTAAGCAGACCTAAATTCTGACATTTCATTTAATAATGGTATATTATTTAGACTGAATATATGTATTTAAAAATAATTTGGGTTTGCAGGGCGGCTGGGCCTGATGGGACATGTTAAAATGCATACATACCGTTGTTCATAACAATGTCAGCTCACTGTAATAACATGAGGCCAGCTAGTTGGTGTTGTTCAGTAATGTACTGATGTCCTGCAACCTGCGGTTTCTCGGACGGATTGTGCCAAGTGAGCGTCCTGTTCCCAAACAGCAGCTACATTATTTACGGAGCACATTTAAACTCTAAGCTATCTAAATTTAACCCGGGAGCTGCTATTCCTGTAGGAGAGGTTACCGCTGAAAGTCATTGGCGCAGCTCTGCCAGGAGTCGTTAAGGCTGACCGCCGGCGGCATGATGTCCGAGCGCGAAAATGACACCCAAATGCAAACAGTACAATCACAAACAGGGATAAAATGACAGAATTCAAAAGTGTGCATGATAAGAAAGAAATGAAGGCCTACCGGCAGTGAACGCTGGGATGTTCGGCTATGTGCCCGGCTCCGGCGACCGCATCCCAGTGACGCGAGGGGATTCGTTTAAAGGAGACTCCCACAGCAGCAGAGGGTATTCCCATTTAAAGCCACTCTGTCAAGCTAGCGTCAACACAACTTCCGGCGTGACCTTTCAAGTGAAAAGCCCAGGAGAGGCACATTTTTTTTTTAAAATGTAAAAAGTAGTCATTATGCATAATGTCCTATTTTAGAAGAAATGTGTAAAAATGTGTCATATTTTTCGGTTTTTCCTTTTTATTAAAAAATTAAGCTGGGATACTGTGATTCAACCAACATTCCCCTGAGATAAATACCTTATTCTGATTGTACTAATGTGAATCACTTTAATGTTGCAAAAGGAAAATGTCTGACATATTTGTGTATCACATGGTTGGATAGACCTAATTCTCCTCTACTAAAAAAAAAATGGCAATATCATATTAATAAATTAAAAACTAGGCTACCTCACAGCATATAGATATATGTTCTATCAACATACATTTCAACAATCTGAGGATTCTGGATGTTTGTTTCTACGAAATTACTGTGAACAAGACAATTCCCTCCTCAAATTGTGTTCCAAGAACTAAATCATTTAGCTGTGGGAGAATTAACATCAGTATTTTAGACTGATAACGTGATGTGAGCCTTGATTGGCAAATCCACATTTTAAAAACAGGTCTCAGCTCTTTTAAATCCCAAAATAGTCCTCCATAACCAAAAAAAGCTCATTGGACATTCCTTGCAAGTTTCGTGGACAGAACAGGAAGCTGATTTTAGAGAGGCTTGAGGTAAACTTGTGTAAGTGCATGTGCAAAAATTACCTGACAAGGACACCTGCTGGTCACCATGAATGTCTACAAATATTAGTCAACCAAATAAGAAGTGGTTCCAGGCGCAGGCTTTAGATTTGTGTAGGACAAATAAAAAACATCAGAATTTTTACATTTAAATGTCACTTCAACCATGCTGTAATAACGCCTTCGGTTTGTGTCGTGGTTTTGTTGAGGTTGATTAGACGCCATCACAAGAGAAAATTTAGCACCATTGTGGAAGAAATTCACAAGCTTATTAGAACATCATGCGATAACATTTTAATAATACAGACAAGTTAGTGCCATTTAACACAGAAGGCAAGTGTGCATAAAGTGTGTATAAAAAAAAAACAGGCTGCGTAATTTGAACTTCAACAAATCAAATAGTTTACTTATTGAGACAAACCATTGTAGCTAACACAGAAAAAAACATAACATTTTTATTATGCGGCAAATCTAATGCATTTTTTTTGGTACACCGTTTTGAAGAAGTGAGAAAGTGTGCTAGAATATTTGAATGGATTTGTGATTAGCAATCTATTTTTTTTATAAAATGTTTAAGTATTTTATAACTGCTAAGGCAGGTTGCAATACATTTTGTTCATAGGCAACATTGTGAAGTTATTTAAAAAGGCACAATTTCACCACTAGATGTCCCTCGCAGCATGAGTGAACACTATCAATTAATGTTGTTGTCAAATTATTAAGAGAAACATTATATTTTTTTATATTTTAGACACTATGTAGTTTTGTAGCTAGATTTGTCTTTCACTGAAGTTTTTTTTTTAAAGTTTACAATCTTATAGAATTAGAGAAATATATGCAAAGGATTTAGTAGAGCTTGTTTTAAAATCACAAATGTTTCTTTAACAATCAGCTTTAATTTACTCAGGTTGCTCATTAGTTAGACTCATCTCCCATTTGGTTCAGTAGTTACATTTTAACATTTACCATGCAGGCAAACACCAGGCTTGTGGGTAGAGAAACATGTCAACAAAAATTGAAAATAAAAAAGAAATTCTACACACTTGGATTTAAACAAAAGGATAAACGTCTCATAGCTGACTCCAGTTCCCACTCAAACTCCACATCAGATCTTACATCATACTACGAGAAGGAAACCGGGCCAAAATTAACAATACTTGTCCAAGTGGCCAAAAGAAAAAAATGTCCCAGATGTAAATAACATAAAGCATTATCTGTGTTTCCAAGTACGTCTTTCAAAGCAGAGTGAAGAGGGAGTTTTGAGAAGGTTTGGCCACAGAGCGAGACAGAGAGCAGGACTGAGGGTGGAGGGAGGAATGTGAGCAGCTGCTCGGTGAGGATGGGAGGAAAACTCTTTCTCTTGTGCTTCGGCAGCGTCTTCTGCGTCACAGCATTGTATTACACCCACAGCTGGACAAAACATCTGAATTACTGAGCCCACTATTTGAGGTTATGCACTCAAAGAAACAGATATGCAAGCATTACAAATGATTACTAAGAAGAATGAAGCCTAATAATCCATTACTATATTGCAGGAGCCAAATTAATATGTATAAAGCACTGAAAAACAAAACTCATGAAAAGCAAAGAATTATCTCAGTTTATCAACACGGCACCATTTTTTTTAACTTTAAACAGGCAACGTAGGATTTGAGAAAGCAGCAAAAAATCAACCAAGGTGGAAACCCTTCCTTAACGTGGCCCCTCCCAAAAAGTTGAATCTCAAATTCAGCACAACATTGTTGGAAGAAAACCCAGAGGCAACGAGTGCCAAGGCAATGGAAGTCCCGCTAATTGTTATTCACAGTTGGCTTTGACGGCAGTGGTAAAAGCTGGCTTGATATTTGGCACAAATATGTGAGAAACACCTAACAATTTCAACTATAATACAATACTGACCTATTGTTTAACAACCTCCATCAACAAGACATTTGAGTGCATCATAACCATCTTTTACTAACAAGTCTTACACTACAAATAACTGATAACAAGAACAGATTCCTGATAGATTCATCATTTGTAACAGGATTCAATGAACTACAAGAACTGACACTCTGATTTCATTAGAATCACATTGCCAGGTTTGACGCAGAAAAAAAGGCAGAATCAGGGCAGGTATGTATATCTATTTATCTTAAATTAGTCAAAATTATACGAATGATGCAATGATGCAATTTCCCTACTGTTTTATTTTCTACTTTAACTTGTTTATTTTTATGTAGAATAGAAAGTAGCTGTAATATGTAGGAGTTGTTTCCACCGATAAGCTCTACTCTTGCATGCTGCAGTGCGGTGAAGCATATGTAATGTTGGCTACACTGCATGACTGGTAATCTGATCCCTGACTGGGAACCTAATGCAATTCTATCAGCTTCTTGAGACAGAGCTGAGTTTTATTTAAACTTTTATTATAGGACCATTTCATACATACAGGCCCTGGGTTGTTAAGGTTTGCTAAGCTGCTGTCAATGGGACCTTGTTTTTGCAGCCACACCCTTACATTTTTTGCAGAATTCATTTTTCCTCACGTAATGTAAAACCATACTTTATTATTTTTTCTTTAAACACAAATTTCCCAACACAGATACCACACTATCGACATATTGCACAACACAATCTTCATAAACATTTGAAAATACTGAGAAAAACCAACAAATTCATGGCATCCTGCTTTTTCTTCTCTTTTTGACAAGTGAACAATAGGGATCGCATTCAGGAAGTGCTTGAAAATATCACTCAAATAGACACTCTTACTCAACCCTCGGCTTTAACTTCCTCTGTGGTCTCTTCCTTCTTCTCGTTGACGGCAGCTTCAGTTTTTTCCACATTTTCTACCGGCTCAGGGTTGGACTTTGGCACCTCTTCCTCTTTCTTCGCTTCAGGAAGAAGGATGACTTTCCCGATGTTTTGGCGTTCGTGCATTCGCTTCATGGCATCAGTCGCCTGACAGAACACAGAGGAGCAGAACGGATGTTCACAATGTGATGTTTTCCTCCTATTTTTAGGTTTGGTTTTACAAGTATCATTAATGCGAAAAACACTTCATTAGAGGTTATCTTTTTTAACATCTTGCTTTTTCGACACGTTATTGTATCCATGAATAAATAATAAAAGCAGCACGATAAGATTATGTTTCCTTGGTTAATAAAGCTTAATGGATAATCTTACCAGCACCAGTTTTGCATTGACTCCCTGAGCACATGATCATAATTGCTCAGTCTTAATAAGGATAAATGAACACATGGGCTATCTACGCTATGTATCTCTGCTTTAAAGTCATTTGCCCTGCTTATTATTTCCTGCCTCGGCTTTTGTCCGTTTCCTGCTTACAATTACAAAAGCCCCCACTCCTGTCTATCCTTGAATCCAACTTGAAACACTGAGAAATCCCCGTAAATAGTGGAAGCCAAGGCAACAATTTAGACCATCACCTAGCAACAGCCCTTAAGGACTGACTCATCTGATGGAGGGGGGTTTGAGGTAATCTCGCCTGCATCACATGATTGATGGAGAAGGGGAAAACACAAGAAGGGTGTGAAACAGGAGAAGCTTCAATGGAGCTCTGTGATGCACAAACATCTCATCTCATATGTGAATACTCACTGTGCAGCAGAGAAAACATTGTTACTAAAAAGTATTTGCTTTCTTGTCAAGGGGAAAGCGAATAGGGGGTTCTCACAACATTTCAACTTATTCTAATAGAATTGTGTGCAGCAAATCAGCCCGATATCAACCATTAGGTTATTTATTTTCATTGTTTCCCTTTTCGCACAATGCTACCCTCATAAAGCTGCTCTTCCACTTTTCAATTCTGATACACTGCAAATATTTACTTCGCATTAATTAATCATTTGTTATTGTATTTCCTTTATGTGTATTTCTTGTACTTTTATTTTAATATTATGGTTTTTATTATAGTTTATATTTGCAATTTTTTTTTACAACTTTATTCCCTTGTTTTCATATCTTACACTGCACTAGTATTATTTGTATCCTTTTATTTTGTATCTTTCTTACTAAGTTTGATTTTCTAGTTCTGGTGGATTTGTATGTATTTAAATGTAATGTTATAAAGTGTCTTCTTGGCACTAACTTAATACCTGTAATTTTTTTTCTAGAGCCTGTTTTGGTTGTTGCCTTGTTAAACTCGCCTTACTGTGTTTATGTTGGCAACATTATACACCAAAGCAGATTCCTTGTATTTGTAAACCTGCTGAGCAACCGGATCGTTATTATCCTTTGATTCACGCCTTAAAAAGTAGTCCCTCTGTCACATTTTACATTTCAAACATGAGGAAACTGACCTCCTCAAAGTGGTAGCAGGAGTCGATGCGGGGCTTGATCTTGCCCTGGCTGTAGAGCTCCAGCAGCTTCCCCATGGTGCGGACGATCAGTTGCTCATCGGGGATGTAGCCCAGGTGGAAGCCGCAGACGCCCTTGTTGGTCTGCATCAGTTTGAGCATGCTGAGCGACAGCTGGTTGTACCAGCTCTTCGCCAAGGCCAACAGGTTCTTCTTCTGGCCCGTCACACAATTGGCCGCGCCTAGAAAGCAAGAGTAAACTATAAATCAGAGAGATTCATTTCTATCTATTTATAGCGACCTCTTAGAAGGTAAGGAGTGATGAAGTAAACCTTCTGCATTCAAAATGTCACTTGACAAACTATACTCATAATGCAGATATCGGTGCCATTACAGTAGATACATACTAATTAAAAAGGTTATAAACAGATTGCTTCAGGTTGAAGAGCTCATTATTATTATTTCATTAACTGATGATACATTTAAAATCCAAAACATCAAAATAACTTGTATCTAAAACTGTCAGATCAAGCACAGTCTTTTTCTCAAATGTGTTGTAGTGGAATATAGATTAGCATGAAATGGAAATACCTAAGAACCTCAAATAACGTAGTGTTTCAGTAAAAGTTCATTTCCACCTCTGTTAGGCCCCACTCCTGTCATTTCAGTTTGGATAAATTATACAAAACAGCATTATTACACAAACATTCAAGCAAAAATAGAAATACATTAAGGGAGCCTGGACATATGCATTAAGACGTGTTTTCTCTGTTTCCAGATGTCTTACCAAAGACTATAAGCATGCCCAAAGGCTTCAACAAACTAAAGCCTTTCTGGGTGTCTGAACCACCGAGGGGGTCCAGGACGATGTCCACTCCTGCAGAGACAGAAGAAAAAAGGGAAAAGATGCATAATGTTTCCGTGTCAACATGCGACAATCTTTAGTATTACATTAAGAAATGTCCCGGCTCGGTAAAGAAAGGTAAGGATGTGTGTTTTGTGTCAGTGTGATGCCCAAGTGTGTTTTCCTCACCCTTGGGGCTGATTTTGCGGACTTCCTCCACGTAGTCTTTGGTGCGGTAGTCGATGGGGTGAGTTACGCCGCCTTGGGAAATGATCTCATGTTTGGAGGCTGAGGCCGTGCCAAAAACCGTCACATCTGGCACAGTCTGACAGAGCTGGGTAACAGCGACACCGACACCACCTACAGATGTGCAGACAGCCGCACCAACAGAGGTGAGAAGAGGCTGCAGGCGCTTCACATTCAATTACAAACGGTTTGATCCCTCGCTGCAATTCTCAGTGATTTAATCTTCAAGACAATGGGTCTGCACTGGCTTTTTCCAACTCGGAATAACTCGCAAGGATGTGTTTTATGGCTCACCGATTCAACACTCATGCTTTGCAGCCAGACATTGTTCAGAACCGCAGAAATGTATTTGAAAGTTGAGTGGACACCACGAAATGTCCAAAGACATTCGATACGTCAAGCAGAACGTTGGAAAAATAGGAATAAAAGATATTAAGAGTAAGATATTTTTTCCACCTCTGAGATACTTAATAGCGTATGAAAAATATGAAAATTGAGGCATAATGATACAATTGTATTCTATTTATTTATTTCATTCCCAATGTATACATTCAATGAGACTTGAGGCTGTTCTCAGCTAAGGCTTAAGTCCACACCTTTTCTGCCAGTATAAATTGGCTTGGTCTGACACTACCTCATAAACAATGTCTTATTGTTGGTTTTATTATTATTATTATTTCATATGTGGTTTTGACTTCTTAAAGATGGAAAAAATGAATGGGGGAACCAGATTTTATAGGGTTAAGGAGTACAAGTAGCTTTAAAAGTGTTGGATATATGGTCAGTAATTCCGGTTGCAGTAGTGGCCTCTCAGCTCTACGGTGGTTTGTTATGTGACTTTATGATGGCTGAGATGGTGGAGGAAATGCTTTATGGTCGTGTTTTTTCATAATAATGCCTGCCTGGGTGTGCAGGCTCAACAGTAATCCCTCCTGACCTCATCTTCACCCCTTCCTCGTGTCGCTGATTCATACAGGTCAGCTGACAGCCCGCCACATAACAAACACTGAGACGCAGCTTTTGAGAGGGAAGTGCACTGCACTGGAGTGTAATGGTGGACGCTGACATCACCATCCTGTATACTTAGATTCAAGAGTGGCTGATAAACACGGATTGAGTTACAGCTACATTAACAACCTTTAAACATACAATAAATAACTTCAAACAAAAAAAAAAATCATTATTCTACCCACGCCTATCTGATGTTGTGAGACATAATGCTCACCAGTTATAACTGGTGACAAAATAGCTATCCTTTAAAATTGGAAATAATTATCTCTAACTGAAAAATCCTATTCTAAAAATCCTATCATAACAACCCTTAAACAACTGCAGTGCCATGTCGTCTTGAAGAGGTTTTCCCGCCTGTCTGAAAGGTTTTACTGCCTATCCCTCAAGAGAGGAGCACCAGAGCGTGTGTCTCTACTGCTCATGGTCAAATATTATATCACATAATATGTATAAAGGATAAGGCACTGGTCAATGTTATGATCCACCTGGAATTTATTCAGATTTTCTAAAAACAATATGAATGTGGAAACACTGTTTTGAAAGTGAATAAAATGTCAAATTGGTTGAGTAGTTTTTTTTAGTAATTTAATAACCACATGGTCATAGAGTTTCCCAGTTTTAAAATAATGGAAGTCCACATTGATGTATTTTCAAGGTTCATATCTATGATTCCCTCCTCCTGTGATTGTACCACCAGCCCCCTGGTTATTGAAACACACACGGTGATGTGCACAGAGTGAGACGCATCTGCTTGTCGCTTGTTTAAAAAGGTCAGGTGTTGCCAAAGCAACCCCGCCTGATGATGATCCTGTGTTCCCTTTTATGAATACTCGCACACACCATATTTTCACCAATGACCAGCAGTCTCTTTGATGATCATTTATCAGCACAGCTATGTGGCTGCATTCTGGGAAGTGATTAGTGACCTCAGTGAATAAACCGTGCCCCCTCTTCACAGGAGACTCGGGGAGGTGTTTGTTACACATCACAACATGATAAGGGAGCGACTGTCCAAGCGTAAAACACAACGGACACCACATATTTAGATAACAAAGAGGAGAAAAGTGTGTAAAATCTCAATTTTTGTTAAATTATCCTTTAAAATGTTTTTTTTAATTCAGGGTCTTGGGTATGAAATGTAAGATGTATTAATAATTGTCTATCAAAAACCCAGTGTCAGATACTAAAATTGCTTTTTTTGTCCAAAAGTTCAAAATAGATTGAATTTAAAACATAAAATGGCAACTGTTCACATTCAGCTGTAACAAACAGTTATTTTGGGGGATTTTTTGCATTTTTGTTAAATAAACTTCATTGATGATAACCATTGTCATCCAAATGGCACAAATTCTACAGCATAAAGAAAAGAAAAATAGAATCAAAACCTAGGAGAAGAGTTTTTAATGTGTTGGATGTTGTCATCAATGACACTGATAAATTCAATAAGAAATAGCTATGTTGCTGATCAGTATTTGAGACCCCTGATTTTATTCTCAGTATTCCCTGTGTGTGTGTTACCTGCAGCCATATGGACCAGGACACTCTTGCCTGGCTTCAGGTTGGCCGACTCGAACAGCATCAGGTAGGCGGTGAGGTAATTGACGGGCAGCGCGGCCCCCTCCTCAAAGCTCATCTGCTCGGGCATGAGGAAGGTGTTGCCAGCGGCCACAACGACCACTTCCTGGTACATGCCGCTGCGGATCAACATGATGACCCGATCCCCAACCTGAGGGAGGGGAGAGGGGGGAGGAAGGGAGGGATGGGGAATCGGGGATGTATCTGTGGTTAAGATCTGGTCAGATTACTTAGAAATTAGTCGTTAACTGAATGCAAATTACACAGCAATTATTTGTTGTGATTAATAATTTTAAAATCATAAATTATAAGTAACTTCTTAGCCTAATCTAAATATTCCATTACTTCAAACAGTGAAAACATTTCCCCATAAAACATGAGAACCTTGATGTGTCTCTACATCTCGGACACAATATTCACAAATTAATAGAATCCGTATTCTTTTCAGAATAAAAAATAAATAAAATTATATTGTATCCTATTTCCCATTCATTTCCCTAAAGTCCTGCTAATTTTCACAGCAGGTTTACCTTGAACTGTTTTTTGTTTTGCAACCCTAGTCCAATCCTGACACTTTTTTGTGGAAGAGTAGAAGACAATTTAAATGTCTCTTGTCATCACCACTTTGCTCTTGTTAACAGGGATGTGAAATGGCAAATTGAGGGCAGGCAGGCAGGAAATTGTCTGACGTATCTCAGTTTTAGACTGACACGAGGGCAAGTCATCACGCTGCTGCTGCTGCTGCTGCTGCTGCTGCTGCTGCTGCTGCGTCAACAGACTCATCCTCACAGAGGCATGATTACCTTGTGATCACATTGTGATATTGGCGAGTAACTGAAGCCAAATTCCTTTCAGTGTTTAATGGTTCATCAGGAATACATTTGACCTACCGAGATGATGGCTGCAACCAATGATAGTTTTTTTTAATGTATTTATCTACCAAATATTTTTTTTAACCCATTTTTAGATTGGCCAATGAAATATCAAAACATGCTTATGAATTTGTCCAAGTGCCCAAAGTGGCAGCGTCCAATTGTTTGAAACCAAATTTGTTTAACTGACATATATAAAAGCAGCAAGTTCTCACAATTGAGAAGCATGAACCTGCTTTTGTTATAAATGTTTTTAATGCAAATATATTTTCCTTTGTCCAGTCTGTTAAGTTTCTTTCTCTCTACATCATTCTTTTAAAAAAAAACAAAAGTCCAGAAATGTAGTCTTAAGACCGCACAACCAGCTTTAAACAAGACAATAAAAGCTGCTCCATGTTCCTAAACAGTTTCTGTGCCAACGAGCACAGAAAAGTGGCCTAATGGGAAATGTTGTTGCTGCTTTCTTCCACAGGGACGTGCCAACATAAAAGAAACCTGCCCAAAAGTGAAGGCCTCAGGAAAGAAGTGTGATTGTGAGCGCTGCACTGCTTCCCGTTAAAAAAAACAGTCTCGAGCGCTCTGAGCCACGCCCACTTCCTGTTGTGCAAACCCATCACAATAGACAGACTGCACAGGGCCACAAATATTTACGCACCTATGCACACACACAATAACAACACTCATAAACTTTGCATATGTCTGTTGCAGTGAGATAACTAAGAGCTGCAGTCTCCAGCCTTTACTTCCACATCAGATGACTCAGATGCTCCTTTTATACATTACATTGCATTTAGCTGACGTTTTTATCCAAAGCGACTTAATAAGTGCATTCGACCAAGAAGATACAAACTTGAAGAAAAGAGAATCATATAAGTACATCACGTTTCATAGAGCCAAAACATTTCAAGTGCTACTCAACTAGCTTTAGATAAGCCTGTCGTTTGTTAGTATATAAGTGCTTTGATATTCATTTTATTGCTCGAAGTGGAGTCGAAAGAAATGAGTTTTTAGTCCGCGCCGGAAGATGTGTAAGCTNACACACACACACACACACACACACACACACACACACACACACACATTAAAGCAGGCCTAAGGGAAATGAGGATTATACTTCCAGATAAATACTTTTTTCTTACATTGCATTTAGCTGACGCATTTATCCAAAGCGATAAGTACAATAAGTGCATTCGAACAAGAAGATACAAACTTGAAGAAAACAGAATCATATAAGTACATCACGTTTCATAGAGCCAAAACATTTCAAGTGCTACTCAACTAGCTTTAGATAAGCCTGTCGTTTGTTAGTATATAAGTGCTTTGATATTCATTTTATTGCTCGAAGTGGAGTCGAAAGAAATTAGTTTTTAGTCCGCGCCGGAAGATGTGTAAGCTTTTAGGGGTCGATAACATTTCTCAACATCTGGTCTTATGAAACACTTCCAAACACACTCTGTGTCACCTCAGAAAATGCATGATAGTCAATTTAAAAAAAGGCTGAGCTCAGTTCCTGGAGCACTGGCATGAAATTAAGTAACTGAAGTAAATTCAAAGCAGGACAGGGAAGTTCACTTACACCAGCAAAATAAGTAGATTTGATACTGCTGTTCAATTCAATGCATGATATATAAACAGTGAGACGTGTCATGATGCAAGTTTTATGCACACACAGTATATAATTACCAGTATTCAACTACTAGACAAACCACATCTCATTAGCAGAGAAGCATCTTCAAAAAGAGGCTTTTGTGTTTTACATTAGTCAAAAATGGCTCGTTATTCAAAAACCATTACATCTACAATATTAAAGACACCTGCTGTAAATTGACCAAATATTGTCCAATGTATTAAGCCGAACACAGAACCCTTCATCCTCTCGTCATGCAACATTACGTTGAGTGTATTTGCAGAACAATGCATGAATTGCGTGATAAGACTTTAACACAGAAACTACTGCTCAATCTTCCACAATATCGATCACATTATGGAGCATAATCATTGACTCTCTAGTCTTTTTTAATATAGAAACATCTGCGAGGAGGTAATGCTGGATTTGGAAACTGGCAAGAGGAGCTGTAATGGGATCCTACATCACACATCTGCAATCCATGCGTTTCATAAATCAGCCACGCCCGCCTGTCTTCATCTGACGGAGCCTCGCTGCTCCAGTCTGTCCTCATGAAACAGCATCAGCCTCTCTAAACAATCCCCTTAATGTGATTGTCTGCTGCTCTGCCTCCCTTATGCGTCTTACTGCAGCCACACGCATTTTTACAATGAAATAACCCACAATCTTGGGTCTAAACCTAAAATACTTTCAACCTATACTCTATATGCTTTCAGTGCTTATGCATTGTAAATACTTGATAGGATTCTTACATTTACACCATGTCCAGCATCACTGCATGTGCCGTTTTGTTGGGACTTGTGTTGTGCTGCTGTGCCAAAAAAGAGTGTTCGGTAACATAGCATTCCCCCTATAGGATCCTTGCTCTTCAGAAGAAAGATGTAGGGGGCAATGGGAGGTGGGCGGGAGGGGAAATTCCATACTGACACAGAGTAGGGCTGCACGATTTAAAAAAAAAAAAAAAAATCTAATTGCGATTTTTCTGACAAATATTGCAATTTGCGATATATATATTTTTTTAAGCGACCCAACGTAAGTTTATTGTAAAATGCGGCCATAACTCCGGCTAGGAAGGTCGTATCAACGTACTCCCATCTCTAGCACCCCCGCAGCCCGAGCTACGAGTGAAAGAACGGTATACCGTACCGAAATCAGATCCGGTTTCGATACTTAAAAAAAAAAGACATATATATATATATAGTATATATATTTTTTTTTATTTTAAAAGTGAGTCCGTGGCCCGTGATGGCAGGTGTTATAAATTAGATTGCATAATCGTTTTTCTT